TGTTTCTCAGAACCAGCAGAATTTTAAACTGTTTGATGGGGGCAGAGTCCTGCAGAATTCTGCTGTTGCTCAGACCCAAAGACAAATCAGAAACTTTAGAAATCAGGTCTGAAAGCCTGTATTTCACCAGCCTGTCTCTGAGAGCCTGAAATAATACGATATTCAATATTATCTAGTAAACAACAGCAGGACCAGCCCTTTTTAGTGTGGCAGAGTCCAGCCCCAACACCAAGTGTGAAATGAAGAAGTAGGCTGGAAAAATGGGCAAACATTAGAAAAGAATCCCACCATAAAGAACTTTTATGGTGGCAGGAACACTGAGGACACAAAGCCAGAAGGAACAAATAAATAAACATCTACAAGTAATACCTCAGGGGGAAAAATGCAGCCTGGATAAAAAATTCAGCTAGAATTCTTGGAAGAGATGAAACAAGGCTTTTTTTTGAATCTTTTTTTTTTAATAAATAAAATGAGAATTCTGGAAGAGAAAATTGGAAAGGAAATGAAATCTATGGAAAAAAGAATTAAAAAGGGAATTATTAATAGCTTGGCAAAAAGTTATAAAATCGTACCCAAGCAATAAAACTTCCTAAAAATTAGAATGGACCAAATAGAAGCTAATGACCCTATGAGACAACAAGTAATATAAAAGCAAAGTGACTGAGAAATAGAACATAAAATATCTTGCAGCAAAAACAATGACCTAGAAAAATAGATTGAGGAGGAAAAATTAGACTGTCTGAATGTCACACCATGAGAGACAGTGAGAGAGCTTAGACATCCAAGACATTTTAAAAGAAAACTATTCTTGGGGGGCAGTGAGGTGGTACAGTAGATAGAGCACCCAACCCTGGAATCGAGTTCAAATCCAGCCTCAGACACTTACTAGCTGTGTGACCCTGGACAAGTCACTTAACCCTGATTGCATCCACCACCTCAAAAAAAGAAGAAAAAAGAAAATTACTCTTAGACAAAGACAGTAAAGGAGAAATAGAATTCAAGAATCAAGGAACCAGAGTCAGAATTGTATGTGATTTAGCAGCCACCACCATAAAGGAGTGAAGAACTTGGAATATGATATTTCAGAAAGCAAAGGATACAACCTTACAGCCAAGAATAACATATTCAGGAACATTGAGTATAATGTTACAGGGAGGGGGAAATGAATCTTTAATGAAATAGAGGATTTCCAAAGCATTCCTGATGAAAAGACCAGAGCTACAGAGACACTTTGAAGTTTGATCATAGGAATGAACCCTATTATCACCAGGGGTCCTAGAAGGAGTCTAATTAGACAGTACTGAGAGTAGTTCTGTTATTTTTATCTTAAGAGAAGATTTGAAAGATGAATACATAGTGGGAAGGTAGGAGGAGAGGCTAAGGAAAATTATTTAACATAATCAGGATGCACAAGTAGACATCTATAAAAACAAGAAAAGAGGAGTAGAGGGGAAAGGCTGAAGCGTTTGATACAGAAATATGTTTCACTCAATACAGAAATAGGGTGGGAAGTGAGGAAGAAGAATTGGAGGGTAGCTTAAGGGAAGGATTAATGCTTAGCAAAATGGGTACATGAATTAGACATAAAGGGTTATATCATAAACAAATTAGAGAATGTAGAATAAATTAACTGCAGGATAAATGGATAAAGAAAAGTGCATGATCAAAAAAGAAATAGGATCATGTATAGGAGAGAAAATAGATAATTTTGAATACATTAAATTAAAAAGGCTTTGCACAAACAAAATCAATGAATACAAAATTAGAAGGAAAGCAGGAAACTGAAGGGGGAAAAATTTACAGCAAGTTGCTCTAATAAAGATCTTATTTCTCAAATAAATAGGGTTCTGAGCCAAATTTATAAAAATGAAATCTATTCCCCAATTGAGAAATGGATATGAATAGGCAGTTTTCAGAAGGAGAATTCAAAGCTCTTAATAGTTATATTTAAAAAATGCTCTAATCACAACTCAGAAAAGTGCCAATGAAAACTACTCAGGTACCACCTCACACACATGATATTGGTTAAGGTGACAAAAAAGGAAAATGACAAATACTGGAGGGGATGTGAAAAAAATAGCACATTAATGTATTGTTGACAGAGGTGTGAACTGGTTCAATCATTCTAGAGAACAATTTGGAACTGTGCCTAAAGGGCATATATATATATATAATATATATATGCTATGTCTACCCTATGACTATGTATACCCTTTGACCCAGCAATACTGTTACCAAGTCTGTACCATAAAGAAATGAAAGAAAAAGGAAAAAGACCCACATGTACAAAAATATGTATAACAGCTCTTTTTGTGGTGTCAAAGAATTGGAAATTGAGGGGATACTCATCAATTGGGAAATGGCTAAACAAATTATAGTATATGGTCTTGATGGAATACTATTGATGAAAGGGATAGTTTCAGAAAAACCTGCGATGACTTACATGAATTGATGCAAAGTGAAGTGAACAGAAGCAAGAAAACATTGAACATAGTAACAATATTGTAACAATAACCAACTGTGGAAGATTTAGCTACTCTGATCAATATAATGATCCAAGATAATTCAAAAGGAGTTATGATAAAAAAAAATTGTAATTCACCTCCAGAGAGAGAATTGATGAAGCGAGTGCAAGCGGAAGCATATTCTTTTACTTTCTTTATTTTTCTTGCTTTTTGCTTTCTTGCAATGCGGCTAAAATGGAAATACATTTTACGTGACTTCATTTGTATAACGAGTATCTCTTACCTTTTTAATGGGGAGGGGAGGGGCTATTGGGAGGAAGAGAATTTGGAATTGAAAATTTTTTGAAAAAGAAAATACTACTTAAAAAATCTCTAAAGATATGCAAAAATGCATATCTTTTTGAGGCAACAAAGAATGGGAATCTGGGAAGTCCCATAAACTGAAGAATAGCTGAATATGTCATAGTATATAAATGCAATGAAATGCTATTGTATTTAAGAAATGATGAAGGGGATGATAATCAGAGAAACATGGGAAGACTTGCATGAACTGATATAGAATGAAGTGAACAGAGCCTGGAAAACGATTAATACAACGATAATAATATGGTAAAGACAAACAACTTTGAAAGAAAAAAAAATATGAAACCGTGCCTCCAACTGTACTCTGACTATACCCTCTTGCTATCTGGAGCTGAAGAACATGTGTCATCTGACCATCCAGGCCCCTCCTACCTTTCCAGTCTTCTTACACATAACTCCCTGATAAGCACTCTTCAGTCAGTGACACTGGCCTCCTGGGTGTTCCACCGCGAAGACACTGTATCTTTTGTCTCAGGGTGTTTTCTCTGGCTTCCCCCCCCATGCCCGGCATACTCTCGCTCCACTCTAAACACTGACTTTCCTGGCTTCCTTTAAGTCCCAGCTAAAATCCTCTTTTCTGTAGGTAGCTTTTTGTAATTCCTCTTAATTCTGGTATCTTCCCTTTAATTATTTCCTATTTATCCTGTGTATATGTGTATATATATATATATATAGTTTTTTTATATATTTATTTGCATATGGTCTCCCTCATCGAATTGTAAGCTCCTTGAGGGCAGGGGTCATCTTTTGCCTCTTCTTGTATCCTCAGCGTTTAACAGTGCCTGGCACATAGCAGGTACTTAATAAGTGTTTATTGACTGATTGACTGATAAAACTGAGCATTCTTGGCTCAAATCCCCTAGACAGTGATCTAGAAATCTAGCTAGTCTATGTCTACTCTTATTTTTGGTTTGGAGAGTAAATGCCATACCCTGGAAGAAAGAGGCAGGAGCAGCCCTCAACTACAGGCCTCCTGGCTCTCACCCCAGGGCTTTGCCCACTACATCCCCAGCACCTCCCTCCTCTTATGTCCCTGGCTCAGGCTGAATGCCATAACTCAGCCATGGCAGGTCAGCCAAAGACCAAGAGTGCTCCAGGATGATCCAGGGGCTATTTGTACCTCTTCTTGCCAGGCAGCCTTTGAAGAACATCCTGCCTTCTTCTCTGCCTCATTTCTGTGAATGAATGAATGAATGAATGAATGAATGGCGTTTAAGTGATTACTGTGTGCCAATTAATCAGTCAAGAAACATTTATTAGGCATCTACCATAAGCCCAGCCTTGGTCTAGAGGAGGTAAACACAAAAGTGAAACAACCTTGGACAGAGGCCCTCAAGCTGCTCATAGTTTACTGGGGGGAAACAGCCTGAACCTGCGGAGGGTAGAGTTAGAGCTAAACGTTCTCTCTCCTCTGCACTGCAGAAACCCCTGATCTCAAACCTGGAATTGAATGAAGAATGCACTCTTCTGGCTGTCAGTTAACAAGGACACACATTTTTGATCCATTCAAATGTAATTCGGACAACAGGGCGACCCCACTCCTCTTGTCCAACATTTACTCAAGAGAGTCTGAGATATAAGTCACTGCATCCTGAGCATCTGTCTAGGGCAGAACATTGGTTCTTCTGGCATACTATTTGTAGCCTAGCCCTGTCCTGATCAGAGCGGCACATCCCTCCAAACAGCTTGAAAATAAATCCTGAAGTAGAATCCTGGAGTGGCAAAGCCACAGAAAGTTCAGGGTGAGACATTTTTCCAACTTAGGAGGTTGGCAGGAGGCCGGTGCCACCAAATTGAAAAGTGAATGACAGAAGTCAGGTGTAAAAGTAGTGGAAAGGTAGAGGGGAGCTGGGTGATGAAGGCCTTTGAGTGACAGCAGAGCCGTTCTCATTTGCTCCCGGAGGTGCTAGGGGAGCCCCTGGAGTTCTTGAGCAGGGGTGACATGGTCAGACCTGGGCTCTCAGCTCCTGTAGTCAGGGCAAGGGAGATACCTCACCAGCCAGAAAGGCAGTTTGCACTTAATCTGACATAAAACACTTAAAAAGTTATATCCTTTTAACAAAATGATCCAAGCTGAATTTTAGATTCTCATTTTAAATCCATCACAAAGAGGCAAAGTGTCTTGGGCCGGCGGCGGGTTCAGTTGCACCGATGCCGGTTACATAGTAGTGGGTACGGCATGTCCTTGGGCAGAGGAAGCGCGAGTCGGAGCGAGGCAGCGACGGAGCGGGCGAGTGCGGGGCTGTGGGCTGAGCCGAATTCACCATGGGTGACTTGGAGAAGGGCAAGAAGATCTTTGTTCAGAAGTGTGCTCAGTGCCACACCGTCGAGAAGTGGGGCAAGCACAAGACGGGGCCCAATCTGAACGGCCTCTTTGGCCAAAAGATCGTCCAGTTTCCCGGCTTCTCCTACACAGATGCCAACAAGAGCAAAGGTATCATCTGGGGAGAGGATATGCTGATGGAATACCTGGAAAACCCCAAGAAGTATATCCCTGGAACCAAAATGATCTTCACAGGCATTAAGAAGAAGGGAGAAAGGGCAGACTTGATAGCATACCTTAAGAAGGCCACCAATGAGTAATAGTTGTCTGCTGCCTTATTTATTATAAAAAGGAGATGTCTCTCGTAATGAGATTGCTTTTCTTTTTTTACCTATATCCTAACAATCCTATTTAAATTGGTTTCATCAACCAGAGATTTTTGATCATGAATGGCTGTTTAAGAATTTTGGTCAGCAGTCCTAATAAAGGAATGGACATAATTACAGCCACAACTGAGCTGTCACACTTTTCTGTTTCTTTTAGAAGATTTTTATTAGAGGTAATGTGCTCCACCTCTGTCTTGGAAAGTTTTGATTGAATCTGGCTTCTTTTACTAAGCAATAGGGGAAACCTACTTGATAGTTTCATATGACTTTTACCTGCAGTGTGTTGGGGAGGGTGGGGGGGTTATATTTTGGAAAGAGTTGTGCCCCAGCCTGTCCAAAGGCAAGGTCAACTGAATCAAGACAAACCCACAAATTTCCAACTTAAATTCCCTAACTTTCCATTCAAAAATAGCTTAATTACAATGATTTGATTAAATACTGCCTTTAAATTGTTGAAAGGCATTTCAGTGTATTTTATTCTCTAACAATCCAGAGTAAAGAACATCCCATCACACTGTGGGTGATCTTTGAATTGGAGCTGTGATAGGACCTTCTGCTGAGTTGTTAAGTACCTGTTAAGCTCACTTGTACCTTAGGATTCACTTTTAAGACCTGTTGAATTTAAAGTTTGCCGACATGTTCCATAGTATGTGAATGGTGTTAAAACTGACTTGGGTTCAGCTGTAAATGGTGTGATTGTAAGAATTCAGCAATTAAACACTTGTCAATATAAAAAAAAAATTGTCTTGGGCCAAACCATGTAACCCTAAATATCACAAAGTCATAAAAATCGAGGTCTTCCTCACAAAACATAAAAATGATCTTCCCAGAAGCAGATTCTGAATGAGGGTAAGAGGAAATGAGCCCCAACCTGCCCTTCTCCTACCTCCCCCTCCTGGCCCAGGGGCAAAACTCTGGAGTAGCACCCCAGCTGCTGCAGAGACCTGCATTGTGTAAAGGGCTGAACTGATTTATGGAACAGCAGGGCTGGAGGGACTCTAGAATCACCCAGGCCAGTGTTCTTATTTACAGATAGGGAAACTGAGGTTCACAAAGGGGCAGTCATAGTCACTGGCTCTCCCTTCTGCTATACCCCCCAGCATTTCCTCATCCTATCCCTGTATTTTGGGGGATTATCTCAGCCTGTCCAGCAGACTATGAGACAGTCCAAGCTGGTTAGCAGCAGGGAGCACTTTCCCTACAGTGGCAGGGGTATCTTCTTATGCCTGCCCCATGCAGCAGCCCTGTCAGGCCAGGGCAGCTCTTTAGGCTGCCTCTCCCCTTGTGCAATGGCCCTGCCCTCCCCTCTGGCTACTGCTGGCTTTGGCACTACCCAGACTGGTAAGCAGAAAAGCTCGCGGGTGGGAGCCACACCGGTTGTCTCTGCAGGCAGTCATTGCCCTACTACCTAGCTGCTGCCTGGTTTAAATTTCAGGAAGAGTGGCTCCTTCCTACAGGACATGCCCAGGCCCCCCAGCATCCCCTGGGTGATCTCTTGAATGGAGAACAGCAGCTGCTTTGCCCTAACCCTAATTGCACATGGGCTTTCCTGAGCCCCTCAGAAGGCTAGAATCTACGAATGATGGTAGTAAAGTAGACAGGGGAGCCCTAAGGGTAGAGCCAAAAGGTTCTGGGAAAACCTGGCTCCTGGAATGGGCATGCCCTTCAAGAAGCCAAGAGCCTGATTGAAGGTATCCTTCCTTCCAAAATATGGCTCAATGAAATATTCATAGCAGCTCTTTTTGTAGTGGCAAAGAATTGGAAATTGAGAGGATACCCATCAATTGGGGAATGGCTGAGCAAGTTGTGGTATATGAATGTAATGGAATACTAATGTTCTATAAGAAATAATGAACAGGCTGACTTCAGAAAAACCTGGGAAGACTTATATGGTCTGATGCTGAGTGAAGTAAACAGAACCAAGAGGACTTTGTATACAATAGCAGCCACGTTATGCAATGACTAAGAATGTTAAACTGAACCCTTCTCAGCATTACGAGGATCTAAGACATCTCCAGAGGCATCGGGATGGAAAATGCTGTCCATATCCAAAGAAAGAACTATGGAAGTCGAATCGCTGTCACTTATTTTTACCTTCAGTTGAGTTTTGTTTCATCTTTCTGATGGTTCCTCCTATTGGTTTTAATTTTTACTTACAACTTCACTAATGTGAAAATATGTTTAATGGGTATGTAAATGTAAAGCCTATGTCAGATTGTGTGCCGTCTTGGGAAGGGTGGGGGGGGAGAAAAAGGGAGAAAAAATTTTCAACTCAAAAGCATATGGAAAAAAAATTTAAAAAAAAGAAATACAAAAAAAAAGAGAAAAAAAACAAAATATGGCTCAATACTAAGAGCCATGGAGTCAGCCTGTGCTGGTAAATGTTTAATATACAGCTCTCTAGCAATAGAGTCAGCCTGTGCTGGTAAATGTTTAATAACCAGCTCTCTAGGAAAAAAGAAATGTGTGCAGGACAGATTTTTAAGTCACACCTGCAGTAACATTTTCCCTATCACATTCCTAAGTCTAGAAAATCGACAAAACAACAAATCCAGCCCTGATTTCTAGCAATTGAACACTTCCAAGATAAAAATGCTCACATTGGAAATTGAACCTTTCCCTCTGGAGTTTGCTCTGGCACACTCTTGAATGATTACAATTCAGAAGACCCGGGCTGTTATTCTGGTAACAATGCTAACATGGTGCCCTTGGTCTTGGTCTCAGTTTCCTCTTTAGAAAATGGGGACAATCAAACCCACTGGGCCTGCCTTACCAGGATATTGTGGGATGAAATGAGACAATGAATCTGTATACACTCGAATGCACTGAGATTGTTTATAAATGGGACAGCCAAGGGCATGGTGGATCTAGATGGAGTTGGTGGTTTTTGTTTATCTTTCGTTTTCCAAGAGGAGTCTGACTTCAGGGAGGTGCTGCCATGACATGCAAATGAATTGGATTTAAGTGAGGGATGACTGTGCAAAGTCACCAGCCTCAGTTTCTCCTCTAGAGCTATCTGGGTCCAGCAGCAAGATATAGATCAAGATGACTGGAGAGAGTCCTGGCTGGAGTTGGAGCCAGACCCTGAAAGACCTGCGTTCAAATCCAACCTCAGAACCTCATTAGCTTTGTGATCTTGAGCAAGTCTTTTACCTCCTCTCTGTCTCAGTTTTCTCCCCTGTAAATTGGAAGAAAAAATAGTCCATACCTCCCAGGATTGTTCTTTCTATTATTGATGCTAGCTGTCATTATAATCTGAGGTCCCATTATCATTATTGTAATTTTAATTTATTATATTAAAAATTCACTTATTGAGTAAAGAGATACAAGAGCTGGCCAGACTTCTTCTTTCCTGAGCCTGGAAGCTGTCCACTAGCACACCTGTCATATAAGGGCAGGAATTCAAAGCAAAGGTAAAAGAATGACCCAGGGGCTACCTCTCTCCCATGCATTTATTATCTGCCCTTTATTTATTTGCATGGTGGCCTAAAGCATCCAGAGGGCATGGGGGGAGGTCCAGTTGCCCCAGCTCCACCCCCAATCATCCTAGAGCTCAGTGGATAGAACATTTGTTCTGGAGTCAGGAAGACCTGAGTACAAATGTAGCCTCAGAAACCAGGCTGTCTAGTAGATAGAGGTCACTAGCAAGTCAATTCACCACTGCCTGCCTAAGTTTCCCCATCTGCAAAATGGGGATAATAATAGCACTTACCTCCCAGTCCTGATGTGAAGATCAAATGAGATAATATTTGCAAAGCACTTAGCACTCTGCCTGACACACAGTAGGAGCTTAATAAATGTGTCTTTCCTATTGATTAGAAAAATGCCCATTAAAACAACTCTGAGGTACCACATCACATCTATTAGATTAGCTAATATGATGAAAAAGGAAAGTGATAAATGTTGGAGATGATATGGAAAAATTGGAACACTAATGCATTGTTGGTGGAGTTGTGAATTGATCCAATCATTTGGGAGAGCAATTTGGAACTCTGCCCAAAGGGCAATCAAACTGTGCACACCTTTTGATCCAGCACTACCACTACTAGGTCTGTATCCCAAAAAGGTCATAAAAAAGAGAAAAGGACCCCCATGTGCAAAAATATTTATAGCAGCTTTTTTTGTGGTGGCAAAGAATTAGAAATTGAGGGAATGCCCATCAATTGGGGAATGGCTGAGCAAGTTGTGGTATATGAATATTAATGGAATATTATTGTGCTATGAGAAATGATGAGCAGGATAATTTCAGAAAAACCTGGAAAGACTTACATGAACTGATGCTGAGTAAAGAGAGGAGAACAAGGAGAACATCGTACACAGTAACATCCACACTGTTTGATGGACTGACTTTAATAGACTTGACTCTTCTCAGCAATGCCAGGATCTAAGACAACTCCAAAAGACTCATGATGGAAAATGCCATCCACATCCAGAGAAAGAATTGGAGTATGAATGCAGATTGAAGCATTTTCTTTTCACTTTTTTTTTCTTCAGGTTTCTTTGTTTTGTTCTGTGTCTTCTTTCACAACATGACTAATGTGGAAATGTATTACATAATTGCACATGTATAATGTATATTGCCATCTTGGGGAAGGGGGAGGGGAGGGAGAGAGTAAAATTTGGAACTCAAAAATCTTTCAAAACATGAATGTTGAAAATTGTCTTTACATGTAATTGGAAAAAATAAAATACTATGTTTTTTTTTAAATGTGTCTTTCCTTTTACCATCACCCCTTTCATGGTTTTGTTGAATGGAAATCCTGAAATGGCCAGAGAGTAGAAAAACTGGCAATCTAGGATGCAATAGGAATTAAAAGGAATATCCTAATCCCTGGTCAGGGATTTGACTGAGTTCTGGTATCTCTGATTGGCGTAGGAGAGGTGGTCAAGAGAATAGACGTCATCTCTGCCTAGGGCTCTTGCCCAATGCCTGCCTCAGTAGGAGGAGTGGAGGTTATCCAAAGCCCTCAGCTGGGCACAGAAGTAGCTTTGGCTCCTGCT